GCGAGCACTGCCAGGCTGTACATTTTGCTGTAGGGAGGGGATATTTGTTTCACATTACTGCTACAACGGAAAAGTGCTTCTGCTTCAACTCACACTTAACGCTCACACCGTTGTTCACTGGTGCTAAAAGCGTTGGATGGCCAAGCCTATGGCCTATAATATCATAGCCTCAAGGACCTGGCGCTTTGAGGGGTGGACGGCCTAGCCTATGGCATGAAGTGACATAGTCTCGTAGGCCTCGCACGCCGGGATGACAACCACCACATCTCTCGGGCTCTTCGGCTTAGAGTATGTGATGGCTTAGAAAGGTGCACCCTTGTAGGCCTGGCGTATGACCCAGAACGGAATTGCATCTTATGCCCGCACGTGGGGGTGACAGCCACGATCACGACCACCGCCACAACTTTTGACCTCTTCGAATTAAAGTAATGTGTTGGTGGAGGCGTGACCGCCGAGGGTACACTTTTCAGATTTAATCTATAACTGACTTCGCATAATGGAATACGAAGCAACGTCCCGATTCACGGTGCAATACAGCTGATAATTTTGGTTACTGGATTATACTCCGGATTATAAAATGAAGTTCGCTGGTCCCATGAGTATTTCGACATGCAGAGTCGACTTTACTTCGAATACCAATGGAAGGTTTTAGTTCAAAGGGAAACGCATTCGCTCGTAATAATTTCCATGGATCAGCTGGAAAAAAAAATCGGAATTCAAAGTCATCCAGCAAAAATGTTATATTCCACAATAGTTTCAGCAGTTTGAGTTAGAATGAAAGAAGAATACATTCATTGACATCGAGTTGAAGAAAACGTCTACTCATGATTTTCTAGCACTTTGCTCACGATGTTAAATACCTATCGCAGCGATTAAAAATGTTTGGAAGTAATGATAAGATTTTATGAATACCATTGCCTGCTCACTGGCAAATTTTCACTTTCCTCGTGAATTGGATGGAAAACCACTTTGTAAATATGCGTCAAAAGGAGCGGAGCGTTCGATTTCGAACTATGCCAAGTTAATGAACAATATTTCACAATTTGCGAACTGATTTATCAACTTTGCACAATCACCATTCCGGGGAAAAAAAATATATATGAGGGATTAGCAATAGATGCGAGGATCTTCATGATGCTTTCTTCATCTTCGACTCAATCCATGAAATGAACCTGTTAATGTGGGATTTTCGCATCAATGATCGAGAACTGCGGTGCTGGAGAAGAAAGCGAAAAAAAGAGTTTGTCTCACCGATTGACTGGTGAAAATGGCATATTCTCCTGGGCGTCTTTGGGAGCATTTCCCATAGGAATAAAAGTGACTCACGATTCCTTCTACATGCCAGCGTCTCTCCGAGAGAAACACCATTGGACTACCCGCATCCCCTTGACACACCATTTTGTTATCTATGTAGGAAATCCGATAACATTGATAAATGTGTACATATTGAATCCTCAGCCAGAACATGGGGAAAAAAGCATAATTCTGAATTCCAGGATGGTACTGCTATCCTCACTATTCATGTCACTCATCAGTGGACGTAAATTACTCTTTGTCATTAGGAATGTTTGGTTTTATTATTTGACCTTGAAACTACCTCAGATAGCCAATCTTCATTGGGCCAAGCATGGCATGTCATCGGCAAAGTGCTTGGACCACCCATGGTTGCCAACGACGGGCCAATTCCATAATGTCTCATCGGGCGATGGTCGGCCAGTGAATTGGGGCAAGAATGGCCCAATATTGGCAACCTGATTGAGGCTTCCTTGGCTGCTAAGAAAGGCCCAATATAATTTTTTCCCCCACACGTTCACAATAATGCCCAAATACTTTATGAATGGTACTCGGTGTACTAGTTGTAGTACTTGAGCTGAGCAAAATCGTCTCTCAAGAGTACCAATATCGATACTCCAGAGATCGATACTCCACTTTCTCGTTCTAAGTAGCATACACGAACTCAAACCTTTCACCCCGTCCAATAATCTGGACGAAGGGCGATAGTTGGAGTTCGCAATTACTAGAACATCGCTCCAAAGTTCTGGGTCTACAGAAAAACGATTAGCATGATTAATTCCTGAACTGCATTAAATTGTCTCATTCATAGAGATCATGAATGAAGAAATGACAGCTTCGACTGGTTGCCATTATGAGACATGATAAAGTACATGAGGTACTATGTACTTCTGTGAAGGACGAATCTAGAGAAGGGTGGAAGGGTGCTTTTGGTACTGTCTGGAAAGCAAGAACCATACTGCCATCTATTGGTCCAGATGAGAACTTCAATTCTCGTATAATTTCAAGTGCTGTTGAGGCGCATTGGATTGTGTCATCCGTTTGATATGGAATCAATGATGACAGGGAAATATTAGGGAGACGAAGCTTTGCCGAAATTGGCAATATTGGCGAAACAATTTTGCGTGCAGCCGATATTTGTCGAATTTAATTGCCAGCCAATCTGGAGCCTTAATTGGACCGGTGTCTCTTGCCAATGATGCACCTATAATGTGAAACCAGCCTAGTGCCAAGAAAGGGCCTATGTCCTCTACCAATGAAGTGCCAAAAAATGGCTAGCCAAGCTAGAGCCTGGAATGGGCCAAACATGTCTGCCAATGCCGATGATTTGCCGGGTTTGCCATCCAGGGTCCATTGTTGGGCCACCTCTTCAATGAGCATTTTATTCATTGTAAACACAATAACCACTGTTACTCCACCACGAAGCCGACGTTGGCTCAATTCTGGTAAACAACATGTACAAAATATTGCACATGTACTTCCTGTTAACATGTCACCAATATCTGCAATCACCTGATCTGAACCTTTCACATCCTCTCTACGCCTACCACCAACCAACATACCCACCACCCTATATCATTTTACCACCATTACCACACCACTTCCACATTCATCCTGCCTTGCCAACTTAGAGGCAATTCCTTCCGCGTGTTTCTTGCTTTAGGGTCATTCCATGCCAATTCGACCAGAGCGTAAGATCGACCAGCACCGAATTGGGCGAAAATAGCCATATATTTAGCGGAATCGATTTAAAGAAACAAATTTCAGCAATTTTTTATATCTCAAACCAAACTCCTGACATATGCACATGACTGGCGCCAATTTTTGTCTCCATGTGCCCATACAGGAATTGTGAAACTGTTTCTGCAATAAATTCTTTTCTAATTAAGATAGAAGCTTCATTCTGTTGTCATTTTAATTAGTAAATTTCGATCTTTAAATTGATTATAGACAAAATCCTTCAAAGATGAAACAAGAAATTCCACTAGACCGAACGGTTTCATCATGTTCAGTGTTGTAAAGCGACACTTGCCAACTGGAATTCTTCGTTCAAATAATTTATTCAAAAGCGCATGCTATGCTCTTTCTAAGGATAACAAATTCGAGATTGACACTCAATGGATTATTGAGATATGACTATTTGTCTGATGCAGTAGTACGAAAAACTACCCTTGACAGAATAGTTTGTCCAGTGTCAGCGACAGACATTTGCAGTTGCCCCTCCAAGAAACCGGATTTGTAATATTTCATTGAAAGGCGTATTTTATGTCCTTTCTAACGCTACCAAACTTGAGATTGAAATTTGTATTTATATTTGAGAAATAATTGGAATTAAACTGGAATTGAATTTGGATTGGAACAATTGGAATTAAAAAGCGGTTCGACATTTTCGTGCCTCACCTTCAAAAGAAGTTTCCTTGTCGAACCCTGCACAAAACATTTTCCACGTGAGGGTTATAGCCTTGCTTGGGTCGCCTGTAAAATGAATGATGTCCCGAAAGCATTTGCGATTGGATAAAACTGGGATTTCCATTTCCGTCAGCTCCTCACTGAGGATATCAGATTCATCATGACCCCAACCAGCCACCTGACATCAAACTAAATATCAACAAGAAGCCATGAGGTAGGGGAAAGCGTGCACAAGAAACTCCATGTCTTACCCATCCTTGCGTTCCATTTTCGAGGTATTCCTGCAACAGATCAAATCCAGTTGGGAGACATACTATTTGCACTCGGTCGGTTAAAACTGCCGGCTCAGTCAGCCTCACCAGGGCAATGGGCGAGTCATAATTGTAGAAGTTGAACTCTTCGTGCAGGATGATACTAGACACCTGGGAGCAGACCATGTCAATTTTTTCTCATTACGCGGGAGTGCGAAGCATACGTGAGAATTCATGAATCACCTGCTTTAGCTGCACGAATTCATCATCCAGGGAATTATTCCGATAGTGTTTTCCGAGATAAACGAGGATATCATTTGTGCTCCGAGCTCTTGAGTTACCAGTAAAGGTAAGGCAAAAAGCCGCGGTAAGAACCCACTCCTCGTTAATGAGAGGCCCTTCCACTAATGATATCTCCTCGTTTGACATCATAAATGGCAGCCTGCCATGGCCACCCTCCTATAATAGACGGAGTTCCCCCAATTGACCTTTTCAGCCGTTTCGGTACGCTCCTTCCACATTCTGGAATTTGAGCAGATATGAAACGTTTCTGAAAAGTTAATCCAGAAACGCGATGGTTGGAGGTTTGGAACATCGATGTGTCAACTGACCAGGCTCACAAGAAGGAGGCTGTCCCGTCCACTGCCCATTTTTCCTGCAAGTCCGAATCGGTGTTCCCTGGAGAAGATAATACTGACTGCAGGTGTACGTCACTTTGCTTCCAGTCGCATGTATCCCATTCTCGATGCATTCCGTCTTGTTTTCTCCATCTACCTCTTCAATTCCACTGCTACGACCGGCCCTCAAAAAGTAGCAATGAAAAGTTCAGCTTCTTCAACTGAGGCCAAGTTTGCAAGGCAATGTTTGCCAGCACACGTTCAAGTTCACGTAAATATAGGTCTTTGTATTATCACAATCGTTATCGGAGTGACTTACCTCTTGGTAATATCGGGGCAAGATAAGATTCTAAAATATCCGTTTTCACTGACAGGAGGTTCTCTGCATCCACTCTCGTCGCCGACTGAAACACGCAGTGATCACGATTTATTTTTGCATTCAAGTTTCAAGATTATTTCAAGTTTTGCATTCTGTGGGAAGATGACAATTAACATCTAACTTTCATTGTGCCAGCCCCCTTAATGCGGCAAGAAATTAACCAGTTAGTTACCTGCAAGAAATGAACCGTTAGTTACCTGTCTTTGGTAAAACGCCGGAGAATAAGGACATGAATAGCGAAAGTTGCTCCAATAAGAGATTACTTCGCTTCTCAGAGCGGCATCAAGTGAAGCGTGCATTAATCGCAGCTCAAACGCTGCAACTATTGTTTTTATACTCATTTGCTATGCTGCTCGGGTCCCTGATTCTGTTGACTCGAAATGCTATACAAGTATTACCAATAACGACATATGCTGAACTTTTTTTTTCCATGTTGTGCATAAAGGACAGTGTTGGTGAACGGCGTCATAGTGAAGGCATTCGTACATGTTCTTTGGCTTTCATTCCGTCATAAATAAGGGACGATAATGGACGAATTCGCTGTTTCCTGCAGAAGTATTGTTTCTCTCCGACACGGAAATCTTGGATGGAAAGAATGACAATTTTATACCTCCTTGCATGCCGTCGAATCGATCAAGAATGCCAGGACTGAAGTCTTGCAACTGCATGATTCAAGGCAGGAGTGATACAAAAGGACAAGTGTCTTCTAAAATTTCGTTATTACAAAATTGGCACAGAGGGGACCTAGAACGCATCGTTTACTTTTAAACCTAGAATAATGATAGCTCTAGAAAGGAAATTGTACGGAACTGTCCGCAATATATACAATATAACGACATCCTCCCTTTCCAGCTACTGGAAGCAACAACTCTTGCGGAACGCTGGGGAAGAGAATCAGAATCCACATAAATGAAAGCTGACTCTGCAATGTAGTATTAAATAAGACGGAAACCATTCATCAAATGTTTCTTTCAACAAACGCCAACCCCCTCCACCTCGTTTTCATGAAACTCCCTCATAGTAGGCCTAGGCCTACCTTATCACCTTCCACAGAATTTCAATCCTCCACTTACGGAAAAATTTAGCCAATAAGACTCATTCTCTAGATTTTCCAGATGTTTCCCTGAGGATGCGTAACGTTGGGCCGATCTGGACATTCTGGAGTCACCTGCCTCCGAAATTGAAATGCATGTTGGGCGCAATCCCCTTACTTCAGGGATGTCCGTGCAGAGCATACCCACATCCCACCACCACGCACGGCTGGTGCTAACCGCCGTTTCAATCTCATTTAAAACCAAGGAAATCAAGACAAAAATGTTTAATAAATTTAAAGGAATAAGTCCCTGGCACCGGTACGGAAGGCGAAGCAGTCATAAATCCGACATAACTCTTGTACATTATCCGGCAACCCTGGGAGACTGGACTGCTCCTGCAGGCAAGGCTTAACTGAATGACAGGTAATTTTTTTTAAATACCTAAATTGTAGGTTTCATAGGAAACAACGAAAAGGACCCGTTTCGGGATATAAAAATCAATATCTTCCTTTCGGTGGGGATACATCGTCGGAAAACACCTCAGTACTAACTGCACAGAATGATAGGAAAATTTTGAAATTACATCATAAAAATGCTAGATTCAATGTCCTCCGCAACCTCGGCTTCAAATATTTGTTGGAGCGATACTGTGTTGAGAGAGAGAGAAGAGCACTCATATTTGTATTCATCAGGATGCTCTCGGAGAGGAATGCGAAGAGGTTAAATTTCCGTTGAATGTAACAGGAAGAGGATGAAGGAAGATAATGGGCTGCACCACACTCATTAATGCCCCAATTACAAAAAAGCTTTGTGGAAACATACTTTCGATGGAGAGCAGTTCCAGTTTCCTTTTCTCGACGGCCGTCTTCGAAGCACAGCAACGAAGGTCTCCAGAGCACCGGAAAAGATCCGTAAATTCCCTTTCATCATCATTCCGGCATCTACCTGGAAGGTGAACGGGCAAGCAGCGACCGATCGTAGTGTCGCATTGGGGGAGCTCGATATTTGGGTCTTCATTAAAGGGTGGTAAGGGATCAGATCCACTTTCTTTCGATTCTGTCAGCAACTGACAGCAAAATTCTTCCATCTGCTTGCATTCTGTCTCGTCCTTAACGGTCCCGGGAACACAGACATGGACATTCGGCAACGATACACAACTGTGATCACAAGTTATGAGAGACGGAATGGTCTGAGAGTCCGTCTTCAGGATACAACATGAACGATTATGACCACATGCCGTGATTGATATCGCAGTTCCCGGTTCGCACAGTCCTTCAGCCGCACTATGAATACAGGAGTGCGTGGACGGACATTCGTCTTCTTCGGTCTGGCAACAAGTTTGTGTCGCCGAAGGACAGGTGAAAGACGAGTTGCACTGATGGAATGAGGTCATCGACTGTGCATCTTCGCATGAGAAACCGACGGGACACTCGATTTTCGATGGAAGTGTCGTCGTCGTTATCGCATTGACTTTTGGTATGTCCGGTCGACAACACACCTCATGAGATCGACAGTCGTCCACTTTCGAGAGAATCCCTGTCCCCGATGCGCAGAGGGAGACGAGTTTGTTGCTGACGCACTCGTAAGGACAAGGGCGAGGACAGTTTTTCACGGAATCCAAATTCAAGTCTCTGAATTCGGTTCCGTTCGAACATCCCCCTTCGACGCTCCTCATCAACGTTCCATCGATCAACAGCCAAGCGATATCACAATCGCAACGGAAGGATTTACCTGGAATCGGAAGGTTGGAATGAGCAATGTTGGAAAACGAAAAGAATTCGGGAGGTCTCACGAAATAAAAAAAATGGAACTGACTCCCGAGCGCGAGAACTCCTGTCCCCTCGGAAAGAATCTCCACCATGGGGCGGAAGACCTTCTCGGACAAGGACACGTTCTCCAACCGTCGTAGGTAAGCAATCGTATTCGGTTGCAGACCTGGAATGGGCATCGAGAATGCATTTAATTCAGTAGCTCGAATCATTGTAACTTCACTCGAGTATGATGTGGAGTGGTTTCGGCAAAATCGGCAACATGAGTTAAGTGACATCCTGTAAATTTTCCCCCTATATCATTATTTTTCAGGAACTTTCCCAAAAATTTGACTCAGCCATGAAATAACTTTAAGTCATGAAGGACGCCTGAGCATGGTTAATTTTTAAATACTTAAATAGATAAACTAATTCCTTACTAATTCCTAATTTCAGCTTAAATATACTACTTTTCATGCGAAATCTATAGTTCATCAAGTGGCGAGTGAAAATGCGCATTCCCAACGATAGAACTGGGCATACACGGCATAGTATGTGGATGTAGGAGCAAACGATGTTTCATCATGTTCGGTGTTCAAAGCCTTGCGTGAAACATTGAAAGCAGAGCCGAGGGACTTATTGGTATGGCACGAGTCAACCAAGTAGGTCATAAAATGTAGGCATGCGAGTCAATCTTAGCGATTGCGAAGCGCTCTGGGAGGCTGTATCGAATAATACATTTTCTGAAATCATTGCCTCAAGAACTACGGGCATACTGAATTTCAACTTTCTATCTTGCCTCGTTTTGGTGAAGCGAAAATGTATTCGGAAGAATATTCTCAGCGAAGAAATTAGCCCAGCGGAGATAAATCTCAAAAGTGACAGACGTTCGTGATATCAATACTTGGAGCACTAACAGGATACCAAATTACAGCTGTATATGTTCACCTGTTTCGTAGGAGCAAAAGTTTTATTTGAATAATTCCCCAGAAAGAGATGTATCAGGTCATCCCATGAGTAATGCGGTTTTTTCGCATTGCCAAACTTGTGTCTTGCTTATACGTGTATCTGTGCACATCTCATGGAATATTTCTATGCTAACTTGTGTAGACGTTAGTCTTCAGTCTACTTGTAGGTTTTAACGAGTTAAAAGCGCTCCGTTTTTTCTTAGACGTTAAAAACAAGATGGAGGGGTCAGAGGAACACATTCGGCATATAATGCTTTATGAATTTAAGAAAGGGTATAACGCGATTGCAGCCACGAAAAACATTCAATATGGGTTTGGTGAGGAAGCCCTAAATGCGAGGAAATGCCAACGGTGGTTTCAGAAATTCAGATCTGATAACTACAGCTTAGCCGATGAAGCGCGTTCAGGCCTACCTGCTGAGATCGATGATGATAGCCACACTTGAAGAATATCCTGCTGTAACAGTTGAAGACCTTGCCCTCTTTGAGTTAAGCTGGGTAAAGAGGCAAGTAACGGCGACCCTTTGCAGGTCTGTCCTTTGCTGCCCTTTGTTGCCGACCCTTTTCACAGTTTTGAAGGAAAGTGGGTTCCACATGTGTTGTCACCAGACAATCTTAGAGGTCGGGAAAACATTTACGCTTCACAGCATTCTAGTGAACTTCAAGCGCCGTTTTTGAATCGACTCATTAGCAGGATAATCATCATGTGTGGCTATCTGCAGGTCATCATCGAACTCAACAGGTTGGCCTGAACGCGCTTCATCAGCTAAGCTGTAGTCACCAGACATGAACTTCTGGAGTCACCGTTGGCATTTCCTTGCATTTAGGGTTTCCTCACCAAACATATCTTGAATGTTTTTCGTGGCTGCAGCCGCGTTATTCCCTTTCTTAAATTCATGAAGTATTATATGCCGAATGTGTTCCTCTGACCCCTCCATCTTGTTCTTAACGTCTAAGAAAAACGGAGCGTTGTTACCTCGTTAAAACCTATACGTAGACTGAAGACTAACGTCTACACAAGTTAGCATAGAAATATTCCATGAGATGTGCACAGATACACGTATAAACAAGACACAAGTTTGGCAATGCGAAAAAACCGCATTACTTATGGGATGACCTGATACATGCAAAGGAAGCATTTATTGAAGTCATTCCTCAGAGAATTTCGTTTTTGACAAGGTTCAGCTCCTCATATCTTCCCGTTTTACTGCTGGGAAAAAAGTCAGGATTCTTCCACACCCAAAAATATGTCCTGAGGATATATTTTTTATTTATTAGAGAGATCACTTGCTGAAGTTAGGAACCCGTTACCTTCGATGGGTGTTCCCCGACCGAATTTCAGCTGTTGTAAGTATCTCTGTTACGTTGTAATGAAGAAATAACTGTAAACATATCCCTACTCAAGAAATATGCCTTGAGGAGATTGATCTGGAAATTTCTATTTTGAAATCGGCATCTTAACGGTACGTTTATGCCAAGTTTCAACTTTTTGGATGTCCATTTTGCCGGAGCGAAAACCTTCTTTGAAAGCTTCTTCCTCTAAGAAAAAAAGGCCTGTGTGTGACCTGAAGAGTTGGATTTTTTCTCAACTTAATATCCCAACAGCTACGTCTGTACCAAGTTTCAGGTTTCTAACATTCCTAGAGCACGGTTAGAATTGGCGCCAGTCAATCATTCCGATCGTCGATGAATATTAAGGACTAGGAGACATTGACGAGGGATCTTACCTGTGATAGCTCCTGGTTCCAGGGTAGAGATTTCGTTTTCATCGAGATATACCACTCTCAAGGCCTTGCTGTGGAAATCCAACAATCCGCTTGAAAGTGTCGGACCTAGATTGCATGAGTTGCACGAGAATTCTTCCAGTTTCTCCAGGCCGTTCAGGATTGCCGACGGGAATCTCAACAGGGGATTCTTGCCTGTATCAGACGAGGGAATTACACTCTTGGTATGAGAATGGATCGGTTAAACTTATTTTATATTCTCTGGACTGAACTCATTGAACCAAAAAAGGAATATGAAACCTCCACTAATTAAATTGAGACGGGAAATGTTCGATAATGCAGTAAGAATATGGCAGCGGAAATAGTTTGTAAGACTGCTGTGTAATGCTTTCCAGGATAGAGTAAGGTAACGTTGAAAATGCATGACTGTTACCAGGGAACGGCGTCCATCAAGAAACTTCTTAGTTCTATGCTGCACCAGTACACTTACCGATATCTAGTTCTTTCAAGTTGGGAGTGTCCCATCCGTCCTCCTCCACGTTCCGTATGAGATTATTTAAAAGATGAAGTTTCTGAAGGCTATAGCTTCGAAGGGGAGGAATCGACGTCAACGCATTGTGCGAGAGATCGAGCGACTCCAGACGCGAGAAACTTGGAAGAAGCTCGAAGGGAAACTCCTCGAGGCTGCTGTGCACGACGGCCAGCTGGGCGAGTCGGTCCCGGGAGGGCAGGAGGGCCGAGGGAGCGATCGTCTCGAGGTCGGTGAGGCTCAGATGCATCGAAGCGAAGGAGATGTTTCCGAATATTCCATCGGGAAGCTCTTTCAAATTGTAGTTTAATGACAGAAGGAAAAACCTGGAAGGAGAGGGAAAAGTCACATGCCATACTGTAAACATTGATACCTCGACATATCGACTCTGGCTGTCTATTGTAACGGCTGTCTATTGTAGCAAGAAAGTCGTCATTTCTCAGGTGGTCCAACTGTGTACTGTGACGTTTCCAGCTTTGAGAACAGAGAACCCTATCTGCCCGGTTTCATAGAATTGAGTGGTCTCGGTGATACAGTGGTGATACAGCGGTGATACATAAACTCACTCGAGTTGACTAGAGGGCCATGATGCGTTATTGAAGGCCGACCAGATCTCCCCACTCGTCGTGACGTTCGAGCAATCCACCTTCACCTTGCCATCTGAAACGTTGAAGCAGGTGCAGGGCCATACGTCTTCTTCATTTGGGCAGAGTCGGTGCGCAGTCATGCAGGACGTGAGAGAGAGGATAGAAATGGAGATGAAGGTCCAAGATCCTCTCATCTTCGTGAATTTGCAGGGCTATGCCTCTGTATGAGAAAGGAACAGATGGGATCCGAGCTGCTAACATTTTTTTTTGAGTATTGAAACCCCCACATGAATCATAACTTATGATTTAACTAATGACATAATTCATGAACACAGTTTCACGATCACGCTTGAGCGCTATATTGTTTTCATAATCCGGACAGGTTCGATGAGCAAAACGAAAGACTGTGCCGCTCAGTCATTTGCTCCAATTTTCATGGATTCCAAAATGACCTGACATGCAATTGCTTTTCATGATGCTACAGCGAGCTCGAAAAGCAGTAGTTCGAAATGTCCCGCTGAATCAAGCGGATGACGGCCAAAAGAAATTAATTTACTCGTCAAAGGAATGAAACTCAACTTTCCGAAAAAATTGTTCATACAGATATCTAAACGCCAAATGTGCTTCAAGTGAGTGAATCCCGTGTCCATTCGCGATCGGTGAGCGAGTATCACCAAGCCCAGTTTAATTGGCAGAAGTGTTGTATTTGGAATGCCTTTTACACAATTGAACAGAATAGGAACTCTAGGAAATTAAAAATATATATCTATATTTACCCTTACACAATTCAACATTGAAAAGAATGAACTTGACCTCGGTTCCTCACTCGGTATCATCAGGGAAGGTACTAACGAATCCAGACGAGAGATATCGAACAAAATAGGCGCGATTTGGTTTCAGACGATCGGAAAAAGGCTTCGTTCCTCTACTTTCCAAAACGAACTTTTCCTTTCGATGATCGATCGACGTTCACGGCATGTCACTCGGAGTGCCATTAAGGCTCCAAAGGAACTCACGCGACCTGAATACGACTCGCACCACCGTATCGCACTGATTCGAAGTTGGATTACGGGATCACGGGATAGACTTGGGTAAAGTTTCTGTTTAGACTTTGCAACAAAAATGAAAGGAATAATAATCTGGAGTGAGGAAAAAGCAGGAATCTCGAGTGGGCCGAGCTCACCGGCGAACTCGGTACCCGGATCTTCCTCTCCTTTATTCCTCCTTGTCGGGAGGGTTTTCATCGTCGGAAAGCTTCTCCATTGGTAGTCTCTTTTCAAGGGCATCGCTCCAAGGGCATCGAAGGGGAAAGTCATTCTCGTTTATATTCAGGTCCGGTTTACAGTGCTTTTTCGTGTTGGACTTGCCTTTAGAAAAAGAGTTCTATCCTCCTTATGGCGTCCAAATGGATGCCGCCGCCTGCCCAGCACAAAGGGCGCGAAGCATCGCGTTTCTGCAATGCTTCCTGGCACGGTGCCAGGAGGAAATAGGGGCATTCCACATGAAATCGACCGGAGCGTGAGCACGACCATCACCGAATAGGACGGACATCGGCGTCCATGTAGTGGAATCGATTTAACGAAACTAAATTCAACCGATTTCTTATATATCCCACCGAATTCCGGATGAATGCATTTTGCACCAATTTTTGGCTCATTGCGCCCAAACGGATCGGAAATCTGAAACTGTTTCTGCATTACCTTCTCTTCGAATTAATATGGAGACTTCATTTTGGTTTCATTTTAATTATGAATGAATTAATAATTCATTCATAATAATAGTTCATTATAATTAATAACATTATTAATTGAAATTTTAATTGGCTTCTTTCAATTGATTGCAGAGGATATCCTTCACAGCTAAAACAATGAACTTTTTCCACTTGACTGAGAAATTTGATCAAGTTCATTGTTGAAAAGCAGCACTTGACTCGAACAGCAGAATCTGATGCTTCGTTGAAAGGCGCAAGCTATTAATAGCGAAATGAAACGAAATTCATAATTTGCACCTTGTATCTCTTCGAAAAATCTCTGCTGAATCTTTTCTGGGCGCAGTAGTTGAAATCTGTTGAATCCATCACTAAAGCGAGCAATGGAGCTTTCCTCTCATTTCCCGAAAAATTTCAATTCAAGTCTCATTTCAAGTCAAGTCCAATCCATAGGTCGGAATGGGGCCTCCGTTCACGGAAATAATTTTCCGTCTCATCCGGTTTTTCCCTAATTGCCTTCGTCATTCAAAAACGACTCCTTTCCGTTGAAAATACTGCATTTCATCGTCATTCCGCGACCTCCCCTTATTAATCCGTGAGTATTTGGTGCATCACGGAGAATCTGTAAGTTCCATTCACTAACGACATTCGGTACCTCCTTTTAATCGCTCTCGGAAAAGATCGCGACCCATTCCCGCCTCTCTCTCTTCTCAAAGAACGATCGTTACGGGAGAAGGACGGAGTCCTGAATCTTCTTCGGTCCACGAAGTCCAGGACGCCGGCAGCCAGGAAATGTAGATGATGTCGTTCATCGTTTCGGAGCAGTTCCTCTCCCGACGGGAAGAAGAAGCTTTCATGTTCTTCATTTCCAGAGGAGGTATGTGCCGCTTTGAACGCTGAAATCGATCAAACTGTTCGGTCAAGTGAAACTCATTCTTTCAGCTTTGAAGGCTATTTTCTGCAATCCATTGAAAGAAGGCAAATTCACGATTAAAATGACACCAAAATCAAGCTTCTACCTAATATATTAATTAGAAAAGAAGCCATTGCAGAAACGGTTTCAGATTTTCGGTCCGTTTTGGGCCCAAGAAGCCAAAAATTAGTGCCAGTCAAAGGCATATATCAGGAATTCGGTGGGAGGTATAACGAATCGGTTGAATTTCGTTTCTTTAAATCGATTCCGCTACATGCATGCCGACGTTCGTCCGATTCGGTGATGGTCGAGCTACGGTCGATTTGGCGTGGAATGACCCACGAGCGATTCATGGAGGAGTCGAGGGGGAGAGAGAAAGGAACTCTTCGTCCCTCTTCCCTTGCATGGAGGCACGCTCAAGGACGACGAGAGCAGCCAGATAGATGACACATACACGTGATTGTTTATCCATTCATGTATGACGGGCACATGCTTATTTATAGAACGGTGCGGAGTTCTTGGAAGTAATTGTCTGAATGCTCTCATCCCACCGCATTTCGTCACTCGCACATTCGCAGCGGTCATGCTGCAACCTCTGACAAGGTCTCCGAGAGTTGCTCATATTGTTATATAGTTGCTCATATAGTTGCCCCAGAACCCTCCCGATAAAATCACAACCTTCGTCAGACGCATCAGTCTCAATCAGTCTCGTTCGAGCTTTCGTAGCTTGAAGATGAGTGGAAGGAAACTCTGGAAGTTTTGACAACCAAGTCGTGAGTTAGTCGTTATTTTGGCTACATTGTAGCTGTATCGTAAGTTTAGCGATAGCTTCCTCTAACTTCGTATTAGATCAGTATCGAACAGGTTCATTATTTCACTCATTAGCGCATTAGCGAAGTGTTTTTACGCGAATGCACGCTGCTTACGCAATAAAATGAACGAGCTCAGGGGAAAGGTACTGGGCGACGGTTTCGATGTCATCGGATGACCGAGACTTGGGGTCAGGTCTGGAGATGTACCGTTAGATTTTGGAACGGTTGCGAAATGCAAGTTCTCGTAAACCTTCCGAACGCTGGGATTCTCAGGAGCAGAAACTGCTGCTCGACGATACTCGAGCTTATCGTTCTCTCGAGGTCCGGGAGTATCTGGCACGGCTCTCATTGACTGTCACCTCATCCTTCACCCGACATAGCACCGTGTACATTTTGGATTTTGAATGAAACAGGCAATCGAGGAACATAAGTTCTGAAACATTGAAGAAACGGAAGTTGCTGTGACAAAGGCACTCGAAGACCTGTAAAAGGATGGGTTCCAGGACGCGTTCCACATGTCGCATGAACGCTGGCAATGACTATAAGTACAGGTACCCTACAGAAAAAATGTGTATTCTACCAACCTTTTGAAGCTACTTGCGCCTAATATACCTTTCCCGTACAGAGTGGACGGAAAGTCCCCGAGGGGTTTCACGTCCGTATATTTAGGTAACGGGGTGGCGCAGAAATATGCGATATGCATTATGCGAAAGTTCATTTCGCAGATTTTTATACGGCGCACCGAATCGTACATCTCACACTTCCGCATGTCCGCCATCTTTGCCAAAACATGCATGCAACCTTCTCGTGAACATTTCCAGAACTGCCTCCAATCGTGCAGGTGTCATGTCCCCGACTGCTTTCCCAAAGCAAATCCAGCCACACTTCGTGTGCGTGTAGCATAGCCAATGTTCTTAACGCGTCACCACAAATGGAAGTTTCTAGGGATCAGGTCTGGGGGAACTAGGAGGCGATGAGATGAACACTCCCCTTTTCATTCATCGGTTGGGAAACTATTCATCGAAAAGACTTAGGATTAAAAAAAAAGAATTGGAATGGGAAAATTCATAAGGGTCAGGTCTGGGGACAGATGCGCGTCTTTTTTCCATCAACGGAAATTTTTTCCATCAAATGTATTATTCCAGTAAGGAGGCAGATACAGACAAAAGAAATTCTGTTTGATCATCCGGAAAAGTTTATTCCTGCGTAATTCCTCCCTTTTTAGCTACAATCCCACGCGACAAAAAAAAAAGTTTTATGCAGCGCATTTCCATAACGTTTCAGTTTTTGAGCGGATATGGATGGTTACAATACGATACCGATGTACGTCTCCGCGCGAATATTATCAGAAGCTAATGATCTCCGTTTGTTAATTTGTCAATAACGTCACATAATGGGAAGTAACTTGACAGAAGAATAAATATGCCTATTATTGGATACCTCAGGAGTTTTACCGGATTCGTCAAAACGGATATTGCAAATGAATTCGTTATCATCCTAGGTAATGGAGCGCCGAAGGCCGCAGGCCTTCGAATATGATCCCAAATATAGATAGGCCTCTTATAAAAATTGATTTTCAGAGGCATCCAAGCGTTCGTAAAAATGGTCTCCCCGGCCAGCACGTGGCCCAAGAGCCGTGGGTTGTGCATCAATGTTTTAGATCATTAATTTATAAAGAAATCCTTTTAAGAGAGGCAAAAGACAACGGTACCCATAAAAACGCGCGATTTACAGAATCACCTTGCTTCTGTCAACCTCAGATATTTTCCCCCTTGAATGTCGGCCAGCAACCAACTTGAAATCCAAGATTCTACGTGAAATCGAGCCCCCTCTCCGAGCTTGACCGGATATTGCACTCTCTTTCCTCGTTCGCAGCTAGAAGTTCCGCACTCTGGTCTCGAAGATTTCCTCATGGTTGAAAGGGCTCCCACTCTCCCTTCATTTAGGACGATTAGGAGTCACGACGACTCGTATAGGAGTGTCGACAGGGTCATAGAGGAAGCATGGAAGGGATCTTCCCGTCTGCTCCCTCTCCACTGCTCAGGTTTTTTTTTCAATGATGTAACATGCTGTCATCAGCGTTTTCTGAAACTGCGATGAGGAGGCATATGTTTTTCAGAGCTTACGTTTTTCGAACAATTCAGATGCATTATGTACAGAGTGCGATGAAACCCTCGACCCTAATGTGCTTCAAGAGTGGAACGTACAGTAGTGCTACTTCATTTTATAGTCAAAGCACAGCCGAGCGGAACGTCAATCCAGTCAACCAAAATTAAGGCTAGAGTACCAATGCAGGTACATATCTGCCATTCCAATAGCCCCTATGCCACTGGAGTCATCCTCTTCGCCGCATCCTACCCATCCAACTTCGAAATAAATAACTGCCATAGGTATACGCTCCGCCAGTCCCGCCCCAAGATGCACGTGGCTAGCGTAAGGGGGTAAACAAGCGACGCGCTCGGCTATCCCGCTCGATGTTCAGCTTTTATTCCGATGCATTCTCTTTCATTTCGATGAAATGAAAATCACCCCACCATTTCACTCGAGTCCCTTTGAATTATGGGAGTTTGAAGATCCACCGAACACCCAATTATTCTCACTATTTTCGTTGCCGAGGGACGTAGATTTGTAGGGAAAGTATGACGGCATATCCACGCATCATCTGGACGGCCCTTGCCAATATGGACTCGGCAGGAGGCGATCTTCCATGTCATTGCCACCTCCTCGGGAGTGAATTGAGTTTTCTCACTGAGATGAGGAGGAAGATTCCGTGTTCCGCGAAGGTGTTCGCTTACTCCGCTCCTTTCCACCACCGTTTGATCACTGATGCTTCCAGTATAGCATGCGACGATGAATGTCATGGTTCCATGGCAACACCATTCTTCGCTTTGAAGGTATTGCGTGACTTGTAGTTACTGTAAGTAATTCGTTGTGCTTCCAGGCTGAATTTAGGAACAGCAATTTCGATCTCTGTACGATCGATTATCATTCGGCAGTTGGAAAAACTGGGAAAGGCATCGGGAAGTCGAGTCCTGTTCTTCACACTGGGGACGCAATCCATCATTCCCACATGAAGGATCTCGTAGAGAGCATTGAGATATGTCATCAGTGGCGTAGGCAGAAAATCGGCAAGGGGGGGGGCCCTTGCCGATTTTCTGCCTACGTTGAGGTTGAGGTTGAGGCCAGGTAGACACCCCAACCCTACGCTTAGCTACACCTCCCGGAATTTACTTTTATGAAGAAATCGTGGTCTGGCATCTTGGGTCTGTGAATGGACATTGGACTTTCCTCGAAGGGGGATAACTAAAACTGGAATTCCCAAGGAAGGCTGAAAGGTCTGTCACTGACCAGAAGGCCCAAGAGGGGGGGGGGTTCTGACCCCCTAACTCTCCCCCCCCCCCTTCCCTACGCCACTGTATGTCATTAGGATATTCTGGACATGACTTCGGCTCACTCCAAATCGGACGGACAGATCCTCATCAGGCACTGCCAATCGCAGTTTGACAGTTCAGAGAAAGTGACATGCAAGTACGTTTTCTAGTATAACGCAAGGAATTCAGAAATATGAAGCGGAACGGAGATTTGCAGTGGCGCACGAGTTGAATCACGCGCTCTAAGCAGGTTTGTTTACCTTCTAATAGTGTCCACCGATCACATTCCATGAGGGGCGGAGCCGACTAGCGGAGCGTATAGCATATGCCTATACGTAAAGTCCTAGACATGTAGAGGTTTTTTCGAAGGTCCACGGCTCCACGTCACGTGGTGTTCGGAGGAGATTATGAAGTGCAGGGTGCTACGGCATTTCACGCATACGCCTAGCAACCCTGTCAACATGGCGGGGAGCAGCGGCTCTCCTCCATTGTATATCTATGGCTCCCTCGATCGCGAGGGCAGGAAATGATGTGGATGTCTTATCGGAAGACCGGCATCCCCCGGGGTGGAGGGAATGGGAAGGAGAATGGCTGCTCATGCGCACTGGGCCGTGTCGTCCGGTCGCTGGTTACTGCAGACAGGCAGAATGAAAAAAAAGTGACAGACCCAATGCAATATCTGTCATTTCCCCTTATCCCTCATGGGAATTGCAGATAAAAATAAATCTAGCAATTTTTCGCCCTTGTGAGCTTGCGGCGACATAAAAATTTAGGTTCCCAGATCTTTCTAGGAATGAATTCTTCCATGTATGGTCGCGTTCGTTTTACTGTCCCACGAGATATTAACCATTCGTCGGTTTCGTTTCGATATATCGATACCAATCCATCTGGGATTCTAGGAAAATGCCACCACCCCATACCACGTGATGGCCAATATCTCTACTAAATTCTGGAAGCGTGCACGAACGGCGTTGGATGCCGATTGGAATGGCAGGAATATAATCAAAGTCATTTAAAAGTCCTGCAATCCTGACGTCACTTTGTCGATTATGCAAGGTATGGTGTCTTTCACTGAACCCCAGGAACATAAGTACCATCAATTTCGGGAAGTTATTGATTGACATATTTTTAAAACAATTTAGTTCCACCATATTCACTGCTAAATATGCAATATTGACTTCAACTTATGATTATTCTCTGGCTTTGTGGAAGTATCGTATTTTCAGCTTATTCGGGAATTTTAATTGTTGGATTTTGAAAAAATAAAAATTCGCTCAAATGCTGTTCACATTGGCATAATAAACTGTGAAACTCATCCAATGCAATTCCTTCCTGATTTGTTGCTGCATATGCAAAAATATCCTTCCGTTCAAACAGGAATACTTGTCATGCTCACGTGAATCAAGTTCCTAAGAAGACCTCGAAGGATACTCAAGACGACGAACCTCTACCGGCCGTCCTCCGATAGGCAATCCCATGATGAATCCATTTTTGACTGCTCTTTTCCTTCTCTTTCCCTCGTTTGTGTCTGGGATACTAGAGCAGACATGCCCCACCCAGGACATATCACCATGCAAGTGCACCAAAGATCGGATGGCTAACGTGACAGTGGATTGTTCGAGTGCCGGCTCTGCTGCTGAGATTTCCTCGGCCCTGACGAAGACTTCTTGGCCCTCCACTCGACTCTGGTGAGTAAGAATTCCCTTCGATTTTCTCGACTCCTTCTGCATTCGATGCTCGTCGCGGAGACACCTTTGCACCGAGGCGAGAGAGCTGTCACCAACCCCATTTGCAAAATGCGTGTACTTGAATGAGGAAGGGATAAAAAGCTTTCGTGTGACACGTGATTGTTGTGCATAAGTCAACGTTCGTCATGGGAAATAGGGGGTCATTGCGTTAGCGTTTAATGATGCCTGTTGACAGCCTCGCGGAGATGGGCGTGAAACGGCTTTCCAAGAAAGGTCACCCAGATAAACTGTTCATTTGCACGTGTTTCTTGGAAGGAAGGCGAGTCTTCAAAAGAACGGTCTCAAATATCATTATTTGCAATGGAAAGAGGAGAGAAACGAATAAAGGCGTGCATATACTGCACATTACATATTAATATACCCCATTAAAAATTACCTCGCAAAGGAATTCTAGTCCTGCTGAATCACTATAATTACGAAAGAGGTTTGGAGCTGAGTCGTTAAATGTCCCACTGCTTTCACACAAAGGTTCACATCCCAGATCGTTACAGAAGCCATCTTGAGACATCTTCGTGGCAAGTTCCAAAGGAAGTCATCCTTATATAATTACCGAGCCTTTCTTGGAAAACTTCACCTGCATACTCAAATGTGGATCTCTCAAAAGTCCCAGCATGAAGATAATTAATAATTGAATAGCTATTCGTTGCTCGCCTCAGAATAATGAATATGAATAAGTAAGGAAAAAAGTTCATTGATAGCATTGGCACGTGAAACCTATATACAAAATTCCACTTGCAGGCGATTCAACATGGGAAACAATTCGAAAATAGTGGAGCTCCCTCAGGAATTCTTCGGGGATCTTTCCTTCCAGGACATAACGATGAATAATACGACAGTGAAGAAGATCCCCACGTCGGCATTGCTCCAATCGGACGACACCCTCACAGATCTTGGCATTCTGCAGAGTCGTCTGGAAGATTTTCCGTTTCATATTCTTCAGGATTTCCGCAGCTTGAAAAGACTTTATCTCGACAAAAACTTTCTAAAGTTTGTCCCGGTCTTCAAGAGCGACAGCCTGGAGGTACTCGGTCTCATTGACAATAAAATCACAAGTTTGGAAATCGACGGATGGGAAACTCCCAAACTGAAGGAAATCTATCTCCACAAAAATTTGCTAACATCAGTTCCGGTCATCAAGAGCTACAGCCTGGAGTTACTTGGTCTCAATGACAATAAAATCAGGAGTTTGGATTTCGACGCACGGGCGACTCCCAAGTTGAGGGAACTTTACCTTGACAATAATTTGTTGACTTTTCTGTATGGATTCGAGGGCGGCAGCCTTATGAAGCTCTTCATCAATGTTTTAACCGAAAACCCAGCCCTCAGGAGTGAGAGTCTGGAAATACTATCGATCAATAATAATTCTATACCGATAGTACGGTTCGACGGATCAACAACTCCAAAATTGAGGAAACTCTATTTAAACAAAAATTTGCTATCATCTGCCCTATCCTTATCCCTATCCCTACCCAACCTGGAATTACTCAGTCTCAAAGACAATATACTAATAAGTTTAGATTTCGAAGCTTGGACAATTCCTAAATTAAGGGAACTCTATCTCGACAATAATTTGCTCACCTCAGCACCGGTCTTCAAGAGTGACAGCCTAGAAATACTCTCCATCAACAATAATAATATCACAGTTGTGGAGTTCAACAAATGGGCGACTCCCCAGTTGCAGGAACTCTATCTCCACCACAACTTCCTGACTTCAGTCCCGGCCTTTCAGAGCAAGAACTTGGAACTACTCGATCTCAATGATAATAAGATCATGAATTTGGAGTTCGACGGATCCGCGACTCCTAAATTAAGGAAACTCAACCTACACAATAACTTGTTGGCGCTGGTCCCGGAATTCAAGTGCGAAAGGCTAGAAATACTCGATCTTAGTGATAATAAGATAACTAGTACGGTGTTCCATGGATGGAAGACTCCAAAATTGAAGGAACTATACCTCAACAAAAATTTGCTGACATCAGTGCCGGCCTTCCAAAGCGACAACCTGGAACTGCTTAGTCTCAATGACAATAAAATCACGAGTTTCGAGTTCGACGCAAGGGCGACACCCAAATTGAGGGAACTCTATCTTCACCGAAATTTGCTAACTTCAGTCCCGGCCTTCCAGAGCGACAGCCTGGAGTTACTCGGTCTCAATGACAATAAAATCACGAGTTTCGAGTTCGACGCAAGGGATATTCGCAAATTGAGGGAACTCCATCTCGAAAATAATTTGTTGACTACTTTCCCGGCATTCAAGAGCGACACCCTTGAAAGGCTCCGTCTAGATAACAACAAGATTGCGGATGTGGAAGAAGAAGGATGGGCCAGTCAAAATTTGAGAGATTTCAGTATTGGTGAGTCTTGGATATCTATTGCTGCTGAATAATCTGTGCTGGAGACTATTTTTTAAAGCTCGCCCATGCGAACACATTTTAAAGGATCCTACAATATTTTTGAAGCAAGACATAATTGGAATATTACAGGATCGTTATAGGATTTATTTAGGTATCTCATAGGATCCTATAAGAATTCTATATGATCCTATTATAACCCTCCTTGATTCCTAGGTATAGGAATCTCATCAGAATTTTCTTTAAAAAATCTCAAGATACTTACGAATTTCTTGAACCGGCTAATCTACAAAGTTTAGGTAAATTAGCATCTGCCCAAACTAAGTATATGCTAATTATGGTGTAATATAAGGCTTGACCAAGTACCAAAAAAATATTCCCACAATACCCAACAAGCATTACGAAACGCATAATGTTCAATAAATGTGGATTCAACATTGAGTAAACGTTTGGAACGTTGATACAACGTTGGTCCAATGTAACCTTGTTTGCTGGACATTCCTTGTCTTCATTTGTCTTCATTCGTCTTCTGCTGCAGCATAATAACATACTAAAAACAGCAGGTCGTCAAATATTCATGGTAGGGGTCTGTGTAAACGAATACGACCTTGCAGTTTCTCCTTTTCCCACTCATGACTTCTTCCTTTAATGCAGAAAACAATCCCCTGTTGAAGTTCCCATCAGGAGTAATCAAGGGCCTGAAGAAACTGGAGAAATTCTACTGCTCAAGGTGCAACATCAGTAGCATCCTTTCGACCGGGCTGTTGGAATTCCAGAGCGAGGCCTTGGAACTGGTGTCCCTCCGCCACAACGGCATTTCGAGACTGAAGCAAGGAGCCATCACAGGTATGATCACTCGACGGAATCGATAAACGGGCGTTATGGAATATATCCGCGATCTAAGAGTTTGGTAAGGAGTTTGAGTCTGATGGAATTTGAGTAACGATGCATCTGTTAAAAGAAATGAGAAAACTCCTAATATCATGCATATCAGCCTGACCGATTTCCTCAGGTAATGACTCCTGAGGTTTCCAATAAGTTTATTATGCTTTCATCGCATCAGCTACAAAAAATGCGTCGGTGGAATGCTTAAAATGAAGAGATTTTGGGATTCCAAGTTATTTCATCGCCAAATGGCATTAATTTACATTCCAGGTCTCAGACCTAATACGAAGATTCGTCTGAACGAAAACGAGATTGCTGTATTCTCCAAAAAGAGCTTCCGCCCCATTTTGGACATCCTCTCTAAGGGTGATGGAGTCCTCGATCTGAGCGGTGAGATTTACTTTTTTTATTCTTTCCAGAATAAACCAGGTTTCTTGCTCACTCTGTTCACCTGCATAATTGCCCGCTGTGTCATGTCCTTAATCCAGGCAATCCCATCCGATGCGGTTGTGAAATGGCATGGCTAATACTCGGTCGGAAATTTCTTGGGAGCATTTCTGGGAAGTGTCACGATGGAACAGAATTCAAGGACTTGGATTTAGAATATATGAGGAACTGCGAGCGTCAATGTCCTTACCAGTGCATCAACAGCCAATGGTCGATTTTCTGCAAACCGGAGACAGTGGTTCCCTCGAAGAACTGCCGCTCCGAGCAACTATGCTGCCAGCCAACCTCCACTTCAAACGTGCACCCATGCCCATCCACCCATGCGTGCCTTCATCACTTACACGTGAGGAAGTGCGACCCTGGAACAAAGATCTTAAACACATCATGCTCGGGAAATGAAGTGTGCTGCAGAGTCACGACCGTTTCGTCACGACCGACATCATCAAAACCCCAAGGTGAGGTCCCAATTGCATAATTTTAAGTGGTCGCCGTATGGGTTCCCAACTTTTCGTTCCATGCCAATTGAAGGATAAATGGATTTTCGGCATTTTTTTCGATGCACAGGAAAATTCCGTTGCCCTGCCTTCAAGATGACCATCAAATAAAGCAAATTGAAACTGAGCCCTCATGGAGGGCCCCAGAGCTGTGGATATTGTAGAGATAGGACAATTCTTTCCGAGCAGCAGTGTCCCCGGATTTGAGCATTTGTATCACGCGATTCAAAGACGCCATTTCCACTCCACTGCCGTACGTCGCAACACCCATATGCAGTCGAGCGATTAGAACTCCTGCTTCTGCAGGCGCTATTTCGTGGCTCCAACGAAAGTGGGCGTTTCAGGAAGTTCATTAAAGATCTTATAGAAGTCAAGAATAAGAGAAGCAAACAAATTGATAGCGCATTTCTGAATGAATTTCTGGATGCTCCTCCTGCTCGGGTTATAGAAAAAGAATACAAATAAACAAGTACAACGATTCGAACAACTCTCTGCATGTTATGCTGTATGTAAGAAACCAATGTTCTGGACGAGTACGAAGCAGGTGGCATAATCTAAAGGGAATGATTCCTTAACAGGCGATAGGGTAGTACGGATAGAAAAGTATGGTGCGCGAGACCTCTGGGACTTTATTCATGAGTAAACTTACATAGTAAGTTCTTTGACCATCTTGGAACCAGGAAAAATTGAACATTTTAAATTCCATTTTAAAAAATCTTTGTAGTGGTGCCATGCAAGATCAAAGAGCCATACCAACCAAATTCATCAAGGGAGGCACGTGAATTTAGCCGCATTGATAATTATAACGGTAAGTTTTTATGAAAACTTCAATTTTCTGGCTGGTTTCAGTCTCGAGATAGGTGACAATCACCAGATCGCCAAAGTACAACTTCGTCGATAAAACCTGCATGCAGGCATCTGCGAGAAACGTACTGTACCACGGACCACAGGACGATAACATTAGACGCTTTTGCCGTGAACTTTTGCGGCAAAATGTAAGGACGCAATCAATGAGGAAACTTGGGGCGTGCATCTCTTCCAGTTGGCCACGGGTCCGGATGCAGACAACTCCTGGGGATAGATCATGGCCGTTTTAGAATAACGCTTTGTCCAGTTATGGGCGAGAGGTAAGTGGCCGAAATACCAAATATGATACAATGAAGTCAAGTTTTCCTGTTCGCAAAAATTTTAATGTATTTTGATTCTCCCATGATACATAATAGGAATTCATCTGAATCGGTTGAAAAGAACAACACAGGTTGCTTTCAAGATGGTAAGTACGCGACAGGAAGTGTTGTGAAATACAAATGCAACCTGCATTATAAACTAGAGGGATCAAAGCGTAGGACTTGCGCTGAGAATGGACAATGGACGGGATACCCTCCGTTCTGCAAGACAGGTCGGTATCTCTTTGCAAGGAGCGTTCAGAAAGTTTTCGGCCTAAGGCACTTCCAGTTGTAATACACTGTTCATATTTTTTTTTCATTGAAAGACACATGTCTTTGATGATGAACGAAAAATTTTAAATTAATTTGTCAATGATAGAAAGCTTATATAACATTTTTTCAATGTGCTACCAAGGGGTACGCTGAAGGGATATTAAAACTGAAACGAATGCTGTTATGAATTTTATCATCTTGAAGGAATCATTTTCCTAATGGATCTTGCAGAGTAGGGTCAATAATACAGTATCCTCTCAGTCGCCTAAAGATCTGCTGAGAAACTGACTCCTTCAAGGTTAGACAATTCATGACTGCATTCGTTTCAGTTTTATTATCCCTTTTGCATACCCCATGGTAGCACATTGAAAAAATTTCATAGAAGATTTCTGTCACTGACAAACTAATTGGAAATTTTTCATTCATCATCAAAGACATCTGTTTTTCTATGAAAAAAATATGAACTGTCTATTACAACTGGAAATGTCTCCCGCCGAAAACTTTATGAACGCCCCTCGTATTTGGTGGCAAAATTCCTTCACATTTTTAATACCACAGTGTACCATATTCAATTCGGAGTTAGTATGTGGGAGAAGCAGGCTACCGAGGATGTTTTCAGCAAATGGAAAGCCATCCGACATCGGAGAGTGGCCATGGCAGGCTGCCATATATGACACCCGTAAGCGGCTCATCCGTTGTGGAGGGGCTCTCATTGGAAAGCAATGGGTTTTGACCGCAGCTCATTGCCTCGTGGAAGACGGTACTTCGAGAGGTCGGGCTTCGAGAGACTTTCGTGTTCATCTGGGGAAATATTATCGGGATGACTCCCTGGACGATGAATTCGTGCAGCAGAGAGAGGTCATCAAGGAGTAATTATGTATTGTTCTTTCTGACAGCACTTTGTCGCATATTGTGAATCGCTATTGCCTCTTTCCAGGTGTCCAAGATCATCCTTCATGAGGGCTTTCATTTAAGCAACTATGACTCAGACATTGCCCTGATACAACTAGCCAAGCCGATAGAGTTAACCAAAAGAGTGCAGTTGATATGTCTCCCTACAGATGACTATCTTTATCTTTCTGAGGCAAACTTGGAGGATGGAAATCGAGGATGGGTGAGGTACTTCGCTTCTTTTACGCACATTCCTCTATGGCGCTGTTTCTTGTGATGTGTTTCTTTTGATGACAGGTGGCTGGTTGGGGTCACAATAGTTCGAATATCCTGAGTGCTGGGTTGACGGAGATTGAGATCCCTGTGGTATCGAATAAAAAGTGTCGTTTGGATATCACGAATACCACAGGAAAGCCTTTTGCTGCTGTGAAGCTAACCTGGAACTTTTTCTGTGCTGGGCACGATAAAAATACTTCTCTCCAAGGTATGTCCTTGACATTTTTAACATGTTATTTTGACATTTAATGGGGAACATTTTTAAGCTGAACTATTTATTTTGGCATGGAGTCATTCTCGAGATGTGACATCCAGCTGGAATGGATAAAATCGTGAAAGTAACATTTAATTTGCACTAAAATAGTGCTTTCCATACTAATCTCAGAAATGTTAACGAAGCTGTAATGCTTATACATTGGGGCTCCCATGCAAAAATTTTTTTTAAGATGAAGTGAGAAGGGAGACATGTAGTTTTGACTTAGATGAATACTACTTCCAGAGGAGGAGGAAAAGACGTGCCAATTTCTCTCCCTCTGCCAATTTCTTTCATATGGAACATTCGTAATTACTCCGATTGTGTATGCTCCTGAATATTGCACTAACATATTCTCTTCCGTAATATATTTCTATTGAAAGTTTCTCTCATGTAGCGAAGCCATTTGACCACTTCGAAAATAGCGAGTAAAATATTAGGAAATCCCCAAACGTTGTGATTCTATTTCCTAAACAAGAGTCAGTGCGCTTGATTGCCCTCGTGAACCCTATCGATCGTGTTTGTTCTTATGATGTGGTCCAAGGCTGACAGAGCGGTAATGCATACTACTTAATGGACGTAATTACGCACTGACTTCGTTCAAAAAACGACTCTTTAAAGAAGAATGCGATTCAATGCTGCCGTCCAGGCTTAGGAGCAGCCCATTAAATGGCATTTTGGAATAATATGTATGGTATTATCATGGAACATCGCCAAATGGGGAAAGCAATTTTTTCCTCACGAAACGAATAAGAACCTATCCAGTGTTACCATACCAGTAACACCAGATATTGGGTCAATGCTGGACCAACATTGGGCGCGATGTCTATACACCAATGCCAATATTGGCTAAATATTGGCTTCCTAATATTGGCATTCCATTATCGATCTAATATCAGACTGACGTGAGGATCCAATGTGCTCAAGTTGCAGGGATAAGTTTTTTTTGAGGAAATGCTGAAGTTCTCCTCTTCCCCAATATATGGAGGCATGTGTCTTGCTTTTCCCACAGTACACTAAAGTTCACTTCCTTCTTTCCATAGAATCATCCCTCACAGGAGTGTTTATTACCTCACCATTTGCCTCTCCTCACAATATTGACCTAATATTGGGGTGCTTCTTCCCACCCACGTTCGTAGAGTTATTCACTGTAATGTTACAACCGGGTTGCAAGTCGGTCACAACTTAAAGTTGCAAGTAGACTCATAAGGCTATTCGCTGTTACTTTATAGCCGAATTACAATCTACCAACGCCATCCCAGCAGTGGGAAGTTTCAAAATTTAAAGTTCACACAACACTGAATGTTCGTTTGTTTTCTTGGTAGATTTCGTGCCCAATACAAGTCCAGCATTGAGCTAATATCTAGTGTTACTGGGGTGATAACACTGGTTAGGTTTTTGTTCGTCTCTTGAAAAAAAATTGGGTATTCCCTATTTGACTATGCACGCTTAATGATACTACCATAAATATTATTCTAAAATGCCATTTAAGAAGGTATCTTAGTGCCAGACGCAGCTATAATATTCACACAACGTTGGACATTGACCTTCAACGTCGATGAAATTGTATTGACTCTAGGGGAATGTTCCTACAACGCTTCTATATTTCCTGTTTTTTTTTTTACAAACTCCATGTTGATGAAATTGATGGGATCTGACGAATAGATTATCAAACGGTGTGTTCCGGAGATTCAGGCAGTCCAATGGTCTTCTATACCGATGTCTTGAAGCAATGGCAGATAGAAGGAATAGTGAGCCATTCTTTCAGCGATGACACTTGCTCAGAGATGCGCCCAGGTCAATATGGCATTTTCACCAGAGTCAATCGGTGCGATCGAATTCTATGTCTCTTCATTTTCTCCATACTCGTAGAGGCCATTTCTTCCCAGCTTTCATTACGGAATTAAGCTCACATGAGTTTTCTCCATTCTTCCCCTCAAGGTTTCTCAATTGGATCCTGCCGAAAATTGGGGACGCACGATGATGGCCCTCTCAATACTCCCCGGAATGTCATACCGAACCTTTCACTCATGCCTAGTGATGTCCAAATGTTACCAAATATCCTTCGTATTATACTCTCATCTATCGCTCGGACAACCATGCATCAATCATCAACCATGCATCAGGAAAGTGAAAAAAGCACATCCCTAGTTTGGGGAGGGTTATAAAGTAATGATCGATTCAATGCTGGGTTGACTCAATGTTGAAATGAAACAGACCCCAACATTGCTCTGGCGTTGAAGTCATGCCAAGCTCCAGTTTGTTGTTTAAATACGCAGTGAATGTGACATCAGTGTGATCTCAGTTCCCATCCATCTCCGATGTCGATGTATGAGATGCCAGTCACTATTCTCGAGATTGATTCTACGTTTAGAGTAGAGAAAGGTGTCAGTACCATGGAAGCAAAAAGAAGACAATATAGTGATGGCAGCCGATGAAAATTTAGCTGGGAATGGGCTAGGGATTCACACATGGTACCCTCAGGACTAAGTTAGGAATGTCTCTCGAGCAGCAAGGAGGGGGTGCATCTCATGGAGTCAGATCACCGGATGAACTCCCTTAACTCCATTTCCGGGATCAGAATTACCCTGGGTCTCTTTTGTTGGGTTGCCTCTTTCGCCGAATGGATCCAGGAATTCCTATATCTGAAAAGCGTTCCTTGAGAAAATACATCCATCTTCCGGATTGACTTAAACACCCATATCCTCTTACGTGCCGCTGTTGCATGGAGCGATGTAAGAGATTTCCTATTATCATTACTATTACTAATGACACGCTTATTAGTTTGACAATTAGTGGCAGGGTAGAAGAGCCATGTCGTGAGAGGGGTCATGTGGTGGGTCATTTCGTGAGATCCGTTTTGAGTACGACAGATTCTCTGCTCGCTTCAACAGAAAGTGAGGGTAGTATAATGCAAAAATAAAAAAACGTGAGAATTTATGTCACCCCAGGCCGAATTGAACTATCCCAACCAGCCCACCCTCGGTGAATCAACATTGATTCAACGTTGCTTCAACGTGCAGATGTTGAATAAACATTGAATCCATGTTGTTTCAACGCAAACGAATGGTTGCTTGGGGTTCTCTGTAAACATCCTCCTCTTCAAGCTCAAAATAAACTTTATGTCGAGGTAAGAGAGATACCCATCCTGATCTAGTCATGCGGAAGCAAGAGGACACTGAAATAATTACAGTCAAGTAATAGAAGGCCGATATTCCCTCCACGCTTCCTTCTGCGCAAACTGCACGATCAAGGATTAAGATTTTTCCTTTTGAGTCAGGGCG